CCCGTGGGTGCAGAAAAGGGGCTGGTTTGGGGGTGTTGCATGGGAGAGATGCCCATGAGCTGATTTCCTTGGGTTTATCCCACTCTGCCTAGTTGGAAGCAAAGCCCCCAGCTTGGGGGGGTGCAGGGGGGCAGAGGGATGGGGGGCATCCTGCGGGCATCAAAGCTCCCAAACAAGCTCTTCCCCCTCTGGACCCCCTCCGCTGCCTTTCCCCTGGGATCTGCTGCTACCCCACCCCATGAATGGGGAAACTGAGGCACAGCCTGAGCCTATACATCCAGCTGAAGGCCCCCAAACCCAGCTGAGCCCTCAAGCCCCCTGAGGCATGCAGCAGCGGGACAGTCCCTACCTTGGGGTAGCACTGGCACATGCTCCAGATGATGCCGACGGTGACGAGCAGGACGCCCAGGGCGCAGAAGGTGATGTAGATCTGGGGTTTTTCCACACTCATGATGAACATCCCCGTCATCACCAGGAAGAAACCCAACATGATGAACCCGTAGCGAAAGGTCTTCTCCTCTGCCATGGGTACCGGGTGGGCTGGAGAGATGCCGGGAAGCTGGTTTACTGGCAGGCAGCACACCTCCGGGGTAAGGCGAGGAGTGGTTTCTGTCTCCGGAGGCTGCCAGGGGCTGGGGATCGGCTGCACGTTGAGCCTGGTCCTGCCCAGGGCTGAGCCAGCCAGTTTGTGACTGGGTTTGTAATGAATGCAAACACCGACCCGTGTTCACACTCCAGCGAATCCGCCCCGGCACGTGGCCGGGTAACCTTCCCTGCGGGCACGTGGGGCCGGACCCCACGCCCTGGGACAGGATGGGGAGGGACAGGGGGGCACGGCGGAGGAGAGGGGACCCGGAGAGCCACTGGTGCCAACAGGACTTTCCCAGCCTGGGGGACTGGAGCTGGGCTCAGCCATAAATCGGGGCTGGCAGAGCCCCAAAATAAGGGGGACAGCAGGGCACAGGGTTTTCAAAGGCTGCAGAAAGGAAGGAGGGAGTGCTCCGGGGTGTTTTTGGAGGCTGGTGGGTTGAGAATAGCTCCTGCCCTGCTCTGGCTGGGGGGCAGCCGTGAGGCTGCGAAGGGGGGACTAAAGCCGGGGAAGGATGGAGCAGGGTCGGTCCACCCAGGGGAGTGAGGACATAGCATCCATGTGCCCTGGGTTTGCTTAAGAGGGAGCTGGGGTGTTAAAAGGTGTCCCCTTCCCATCCCACATCCTTCTTCCAGGCAGTCATGGTGGCTTTAGGCTTCATTTTGTTCCTGCCCATGTGGGAGGATGTATACGTGGATTATGAAAAATAATCAATTCTGTTATCACCAATATGTTACATTTGGCTGTGGCCCTGCGCAGGGGGTCCAGGGCAGCCCCTTATTCCAGTGGGATGGAGCAGGCAGCAGCAGCCCCCCAGGCAGTTGGCTTTTCCTCTGGCTGCAAACCCGCCTGTGGTGGGCAGGGAAGGGGTGAGATGCTCTGGGTGTCTTTTTATAAGATGCTGCCCAAAATGCCAAGTGCGCCTGGATGCCCTGAACGCACACATGAGCCACTGAACATCTCCAAACCCAGTGAAGTGAGGCATGGGAGGCTGTGTGCAGGGAAAGCAAGGTGGAGGGATGGAGATGCGGCTGGGAGGCACATTGAAAAGGCAGAGGAGCGAACGGGGTGGCATGGAGCTGTTTTTTTCTCCGGCCAGATCCCTCGCTCTTTGCTGCAGTTTTTATTTTTATTATCCAGCTCTTGCTTGGAGTGGGCAGCCCCTGGCCTGCCATGAGCTCCCAGGGTGGGTCACAGCAGGGAATGCAAAGCATCTGCAACCAGCAGTGGTTTTATTAAAAATACAAAGGTTTTCAAACATGCCAGTTACCCCCGACCCTCCAAACACACCTCCTACAGGACCCACAACCCCGACAGCCCTGGGAAGCCAGACGGACCCTTTCCGCTCCTTGCCCACCCTCCTCTCCCCCCAGCGAAGGAAGGGGCTCGGTTTAAAGCCGAGGGACCGGGCGGCCACCAGCAGAGTCCCAGCCCTGTGCTGCCGCCAGCTCAGATGCCCCGGATGCTGATGTTTTCGTAGCTGGGGGGAGGCGTTTCCTGGGGCTCCCCAGGGTGCTGGGTCTCCAGCCAGGATGGACTGGGGCGAAACAAGGCGCTGTCGGAGGAGCTGCGCCGGCGGCCACCCTGCCAGCTCTCGTCCTCCTCCAGGTAGCAGTACAGGGGCGGCGTGGGCTCCTCCTTCCTCCCTGGGGGCTGGATGTAAGCTGGGGCTCCATGAGCAGGTCTGCAGGTCAGGGCTTCTTCATAGGTGGGGATGGCACTGGCATCCCAGGCACTGCGAAGGAAGAAGAAACCCAGCAGCGAACCCAGTCAAACAGAGCATCCCAGCATCCATCAACCAGAGCATCCCAGCACCCATCAACTGGAGCACACCAGCACTCGTCAACTGGAGCATCCCAGTTCCCCACCCACCAGAGCATCCCAGCACCCCATCAATCCCATCGGCTGGAGCATCCCTGAGTACGGGGGACACGTGTGTGCTGGGGACATCACACAGGCAGGTTTTGCATGCCCAGGGTGAAGGGAAGACCATGTCGGTTGCTTCCCAGCACCAAGAGGGTGAGGAGCCATGCAGGAGGAAGGGCACCATGAGACCAGACCTTGAGACGTGGCAACATCACCCAGTTCCCACTGAGATCCCCCACCCAAGAAGAGGAAGGGCATCCTGGCAAGGCAGCCGCGAAGAGCTACAGCTGCTGGTGTGAATGACCACAAAGCAGCAGAGATGCTGGCTCTCCAGGAGAGCATCCTCATCATCTGCCCAACCCCAAAGTCCCCCCTGAAGCACGACGGCTGCCAGCAGCCGGGCGAGAGCCAGGCATCCCAGTTCAATGTGGTTGCACCCCACCCTCGTGCCCGCCAGAGCCCTCTGTGCAGGCGCCAACCCTGGTGCCACCTCCAGCGGTGCTTTGCTGAGCAAACATGGCTTGTGTACAGGGAAAACCTCCGCCCAACCTTTGCACTGCGCCCGGCTCTCTCAGCGCCCTACAGAATGGTGCAGCCCCAAAGATGGGGAGGCTTTGAAAGCAACCCCCCATCCACTTGCTTTTGCAGGTGCACCTGCAGGGTGGTGCTTGGGGAGGCTACAGGCATTGGAAGGATGCTGCGATGCTCCACAGGGATGCCTCCATCCCCAAATCGGCATCACCCTGTCCCAGACCTACTGTCCCGGGCATCCCTGCCGTGGCTTTTGCCAAACAGCCCCAGTTTGCGAAGGGATGCTGCCCTGGGAGTGCAGAGAAGGGGATTTCTCCCAGCGCAGGAGCTCAGGGAAGGGTACATTCCCCGTGGAGGACCCACCAAAGCCCTGCATTGGAGGGGGAACCCCCCAGGCTACCCAGACCAGCTGACGATCCCACCCCCACATATTCAGATGGGCACCGCAACCCCCAGAGAACCAGGAACGTGCCTCCTGCACCGGCTGGATTTCTCTCGTTTTATGTTCTTAAGAGTCTCTGTTAGAGCTGCTTTTCCCCAGAGCCCAATTTACACAGGAGCCAAGATCTTTGCTGTGACCCCATAAAGCAGCGCTGGGAAGGGCTGCCGGCTCGGCTTCCACAGCCATCCCTGGAAAAAAACCCTTTTGATAAAAGTCTTTTTAAATCAAGAAGTGGGAATAAATCTCAGGCTCACACAGGAAGCGTCTGGGGACCCAAGAGTGGTGTTTGGGGGGTAAGGGGTCTTCCCACGTCCTGAAACGGTGGGTCCCTTCCCCTGTACTCCCATCTCAATGCCAATCTGAGGATTATTTTCCTCCTTTTTACCCCCTTTTACATCAATTTTGCTTCCATTAAAGATGGCACAAACCCCATCGTCCTTACAGAGCCCTGCAGACCTGCAGCACTGGGGGAGGTTTCCCCAGCTAGAGGTCTGGATGACCCCCCCCAGCCCCAAATCCAGACCTTCTGCCAGAAAATCAACGCGGTCTTCTGCTCAATGGTTCTGCTAAGGAGATCTCTGCCTCGGCCAGTGATGGCCCCCGGGGGCAAGGAGAGCTGTCTGAGGCTGAGCTGTGCGCAGGAGCGGCCGGTGTGGGCACGGGGGGTGCGGGGGCTCGGGCAAGGGTTGACACTAATGAGCCAGACCTCTTCTCAGGAAGTGGGAGGAAGGCACAGAAGCGGGTCTGAGCAGCGGCCGGCAGCATTACGGCTCATCGGAGCTCACCAGCGAGCAAGCCTGAGAGCACGCTTAGCTACACAGCGGTGTCGGGACAGTCAAACCCACCCTCGGCTTCTGCCCACCGCGTGGGGACACAGCACCCACCTGCGGTTCCACTTCTCCAGAGGCTCCGCAGTGAAATACTGCAGGTCCCGGGGGAAATGGTACTGGTAGCGGCGGGACACCACCCTGGCGTTGGCTTTCACGGACCAGAGGAGCCCGAAGAGGAGGAGGATGCCGCCGATGCCGCAGCAGAAGAAGCTGACGGAGCGGAGCAAGGTGCTGGAGGAGGAGCTGGGAACCGCTTCGGCTTCTCGGGGAGGCAAGAGGCGAGCCCCAGCGCTGGCCGGGGAGCCCACCTCCCCGTCGCTCCACCAGGCAAAGCACAGCGTCCCCGTCACCAGCAGCACGGCCCCTGTGATGGTCACGCCATAGCGGAAAGAGGCGGCTGCCATCCTTGGGGAGGAGGTTTTAGGAGGGGAGAGGAGTGAGACAAGGCATGAAGAGAGCCCCCGCGTCCTGCAAGACAAGAAGAGAAGAGGGTTTGAGAGGGATAAGGTTATGTAAGATCTGCCAGAGGAGAAAATTCCTGAGCTGGGACCTCTCTGGGGGCTGCACACTCTTTAGCTACTTATTGTTGACCATCAGAAGGGGCATTTCCACTGTCTCAGATGGAAGGTGGAAATGCTTGGGCTTGCCCTCGGGCAGAGCAAAGGCAGCTGCCAGTTGGACCTGTAAATGTCCCAACAGCCTCATAAAAACATCCTTGTTTTCAATAAATGACCCAACGGAGGTAGGATGAGAGCCCCAGCCTGGGGGGCTATGGAGGCAGCTCTGGGGACTTGCATGGCTCTTCAGGTTTAATTCCAGACGCTGTCCCAAGCTTGGAGGAACGCCGTCTGGGTTTCTGATCAAAGCAAGGCTTTGGAAGAGGTGAGGGAGAGGGACAGAAATTTAAGATGTCATCACTTCCGAATTATCAGTGCAGGTGTTTTCTCATCTGAAACAGGAGGTAAAGCCGTCCAGCGGGGACAGCAGGTGTCTGGCATCACTGCTTGAAAGCCCGCAGCCCAGGAGATTTGGGGCTGAGCTGCTGCTTGCTTTCTCAGGGAAAAGGGCCAGGTGCCATCGCTGAAAGTCACAAAGCTGCTATTTCAGGGGGAAAAAAAAACAACCTCAGATGCTGGCAACATGGGGCACCTCACCCAGGGATGGCTCCTGAGACACTGAGTGCATGGGGACCCCAAAGAGCTCTCCTGTGACCGATGGCAACTGCAATAGCTGTGCTCCCCACCAGGACTGAGCTCAGGGCCAGGATGGGAGCAGGAATCCATAGGCATCTCCATTAAAAGTCAGGAATGTGCTGGATACAAGCTAAACCCTTGGAGAGGCTATGACTTACAGCTGAAGGAAGTATTTCTGCCGTGTCGGAGGGACTAAAGCAACAAGCTGCTGAGATCTATGAGGTTCTTATTGACCCAGCCACGATGTCCCTTTTTGAGATGCTCCAGAAGCAGAGGGGTTTCAGCTTGTTTTGAAGGTGGGGTAAATACCCTGATGCTGGAAGAGTCTGCTCAGTCTTCACCCAAATGAGGCTTTGCACATCAAATCTTGCTCCCCTGGGCCAGCTCCAGCACCCACCTTCTCAGCTCCCCGGCACGATCGATCCCACAGGTGTTATCACCACCTTCATCATCCCTATCAGGGTGGGGTTGGGGTTGGTTTGACAACTAAAGAGATGAGAGAGTGCCATGCCTTCCTGCTGGGTGGCACTTCTCAGCTCAACTTCACACGCTGAGAGTAATCATTCCTCCACGGCGCAGGAAAATTTGGTTTCTGATCTTCATGGGCCTCTCACTCCCCATTGCTTTCTCCCTGGGCTTGGGGATCCCCAGCCCCACACCAATCAAACAGCACCATGGAGGCAGAGAGGTCCCACCATGTCCCCTCTGGCCCTGCTCACTGCCCAGCAAGAAGGTCCAGGTCCAGCTCCTGCTTGCTGATGGACAAAAAGCTTTGGACCATGTGGGAATTAAGCACCAGCACTCCCTTACACAGTCAGTCTCAGGTGACTCTTCTGCAAGGGCTGCTCGTGGTGGCAGTGCCAGTGGAGAGCTGGCACTTTGGGGGCTGTCCAGGATGGAGATGGGGCTCAAGCTCAGAGGTGGATGGAGAGGCGGGTGACCCACACTGAGGCGCCACCTCTGCCTTTGTCATTTTGCCTGTACGTCAGTAAACTCAAGATAATCTGGTGACTTTGGTCTCCATTCCTCCAGGCGGGGCTTGCTCCCTACAGTTGGGGCTCAGATTGCACCCAGAGATCTGGAAGAGCCGAGCTGGAGCTAGGGAGGGAGAACAAGCTCAGCACAGCCTCGGTGTGATCAAGGGCAGATGGAATGGCATTATTTCAAGACTTTATTTATCAGATGGGCCCATGAAATGGAAAATCCAAATTACCTTGTAGTGAAAGAAACATCATCTGATCTAATCTATGTTTAATGAAGGAATCCGATGAGAAGTGGGATTTAGGAAACGTGCAAGAAGGCTGCAGGACTGGGAGCCCCAACAACACACTGGGGCTCTTGTCCTGCAGTCGTGAGCCCAAATCACTGTCCGGGCTGGTGGTGGCCAGTGGTCCCCACCAGCAGCCACCATCACCCACTGGGAAGGAGTTGGTGTTCCTGGGCTGAGAGGAGACAGAGCTTCTCTCTGCCACGAGGGGACACGTTTTGACGCTCCCTCCTGAATGGCAGGGGCTCGGCTGAGCTGAGAAGGAGAACGGACTGGTAGAGACTGGTTAGAGATGCTGGCAGATGATATTGGGGATCAGCATCCTCCAGCTCACCACCCAACATGAGCAGGACACCGCAGATGAGCTGGGCTCACGCTGACTTGCAGCAGCAGATACTCAGGAGAGCGCAAGGACCCTACTGACCCGTGAATCCAGCTCCTTTCCAGAGCATCACATTTATCTGGACAATTTTCAGCCAACAAAATTTGAAAAGAAAAAAAAAACCCACAACTCAAAAGACCCTACAGCAAAGCTCTCAATCCATCTGCATGGAAATTACAGGTCGCTGGGCACTGAAAGCCTGGCTTGAAAGAGCACAAAGAGCTGAAATGTCCAGCTCCTGGAGCCAACGCTGTCCTCATTCTGGGGCCAGCCTGGGGAGGTCTGGAAGATGCCGAGATTCCCCTACCTGGGCACGGGGAATTTTGCAGCCTCTGGGAGTGCTGGCAGCGAGGGGGAGTCGGATGTGGAGGGAAGGCGGAGAGCCTCCAGGAGGTGACGGATTGACAGCTCAAGAGAATAAACTATTCTCTCTTGACAAAACCAGCGCAGAGCAGGGAGCAGCACTAAAAGCTCCTCCAGCCCACCCAGCACGTGCTCCTGTGTGCGGGGGCGGCTCCTCTGCGCTGGGTGACATTGTCATCACACCGTCCCCCTGCCAGAACCCCTCTCAGGCTGGCTCAGCTTTCCTGAGCCTCTTTAGGAGACCCACAATGTTGTCCTCTGTGCACCAACCGCTGGAAGAAGAGGCTGAAAGAGCAGAGGAGGGAGGGGAGGTGTGATGCTGGGGCAGGACCTGGGTCCCTGCTCCCCAAGACCACCTTTGGCTCCACTCCCGGGGCACTCAGCATCTCCTACATCAGGTCTCCCACTGAGCATTTCCAGCGCAGGCTTCCTCTGAAGTAAACACCCAAAACTCCCAAACACCCGTCTCCACCCGCTGAGCCACCCCGACATTTTGTCCTGCCCCGTCTCCTCCTTTGACCTGCTCCAAAATAGCCTTTCTGGGGAAATAGATTTGCCCGTTGCATGTACAAACAGATATGAACGTTGATAGTTTACATAGTTCCAGTAAGATGCTGAGAATAGCATCCCCCATATAAAGTTATGCAGATGGTGATTCATAGGGTCTACGAAGCATTACTCAGAAAAACACTCTTTTCCAGCGCCACAAGAAAACGAAAAAGAGTTTTGAATCTCTCCCACCCCATCAAGCAGAAATCCACCTCCACACCCCATCCCTCCACGAC